TTACAATTAATTTTCTACAATTTTTTTGATCATTTTGGACCAAATGTGTTGATGACAATTTTTGAAAAAATAAGTGAAAAATATACGAGTTTATTTTTTTTTTTATTGATTAAAACTGTGTATGTCGACTCCTATATTAGAGTTCATTTCCACAAATTTTCAAGAATACAAGAAAAAAGTGCAGAAAAATTTGGGCGAAAAAATCTGGTGGTTAAAAGGTTAATCCCATTTATACTTATTCAAAAATGCACTACAATAACACATTCCATTTATTTTGTCTTTTTTATACATTCATTCAATTTTCTATAATTTTAACACTATTGCAGTTTTCTGTTAAGGCTTGGGAACTATTATTTGCAAGAATCTCATTAGACTTGTACATTTGAATTCCAATTTTTGTTAAATTAACATACTGTTGTTAAAACTGTTCAAACATCAGATATATACTTACATTCCGGGCTGCACTGACAGAATTTTTCACAAAAGTTTTGACACATAATACATGGACATTCAGAATCACACGGTCTACCAGGGTGGTCACATGGCTGATAATTGTATACGTGATTGGATGAATTATCTGCAATAAAATAGTCCAATCAGAAAGAAGATAAATAAACACAGACTAGTGACAAAATAACAATATACACGAGGGCTATATATTTTAAAAACAGTATTTTTATCATAGGAAGAGTCACCATACACTAAAACCTAATCACCATTACTTGGAAAAACAGGCTGGTGACCTCAAATTGTCTGGAATACAAGTTACTGAAAAACTGATAAACTCTTGACATTTTCGTTTATGACTAAGATTCTATTGGGAGCACAAGTGATTTGGCATTGCAATAATCATCAGAACTCACCTTTTTTAAGTTGAATTTTTCTACAGTGCATTGACCATAACCTATGAAAGCAATAGAAAAGTACCAAAACAAATTTATGTACTACCCTATATGTAGCAGATCCTGCCAAGATTAGCTCCATGTAAACACATTTTAAGTACCGGGTAATCGTCACATTAACTTGGAAATGTTTTGGAAAATAAATATCCAGATGAACCCGAGAATATGCAGACTTTGTAATTTGTGGTGGGGTGGGGGTGTGGCCTGGGTTGCCTTCTGGTATTGTACCAATTGTTTAATTCTGCTGAAATAAAAATTACATTTGCCCAGCATGCCCATGACAATGTTTGCGAGAAACATTTGTGTACTTTGCCAAAAATACTTTGTGAGTGAACTAAATGATGGAACTACTTACTCTAGTAAGCTATCAGTTCTTATATTCACTAGTATCCATGTACCTACAGTATATAACATAACTTCATCGGCCAAAACAAGTTCAAGAAATGGCAGATGCATTGCCCGAGTGAACGAAAATGGGTTCATGTGTCATTTTTGGACAAAATTGATCAAAAAGTGAGAAACCGGTAGGGACATTTTCAAAAATGTTGACCATTTTGTAATACCTTTGTTTTCTTTTCTTTTTCCTTGGCGGAGTGTTATTAAGCTCTTCAAGGAAATCTGGCAGGTCACAGTTTTCTTTGGCTGCAAACTGATAAATCTAAAAATAAGTTTGAAAAAAGTTATTATAATTAGTAATATGACATGTAATAGCATTAATTCTTCAATCTTGAATACCAATTTTACTTTGTAAATGATTGACATCCTGACTGGAGAAAAGCACTGTTAAAGTGTCCAGATTTCAAAATTTAACAACATTCAAGGAAACAGAATTCAGTGAAAATTACAAACTCGTCCGTAACACAGTATGTATGATGTTCAAAATTGAATACAAAATGACCAAGGCATGCCTGACAAACAATTGATGTCATGTTAACATTTTGTGAATTTTATTTAAGATAAATGGTCGCTGAAGAGCACATGCAGGTAAAACCATTCAAAGATTACTGTAATTGCATAATATGTAGATGATATTCGATAAGAAAACTTGTCTGCTTTATTATTTTTTGTTCACACTTGTATTGTCCAACTTCTTGTAATGTTCTAGGATGATTTTATTAGCAATGAAAAAATTAGGCTACCAAGGATTAGAGGGTTAACAGTAACTTGTTTGTTAACAACTTATTGAGGGTGTGTTTTTTTGTTTGTTTGTTTGATTGAGCATGCATTGCATACCGTCCACTTTCAGCTTGTGAATATCATTAAAAAAAAACTTGTTTAGGCTGAGAAAAAAAATATCTCTGTTTCTAGTTTCCGCGCGCATCATTTTGAACTATGCGCCTCTGACGTTTTTTTTTCCTTCTAAAGCATTCAAAAATGCACCTGTACTTGCACTTTCAAATTTTAGCTCAGTATTAAAAAAAAAAAAATCGCCTTCCTGCCTCATTTTAAAATTTACATGAAACGAGAAACAGAGAATTTTTTTTCCTGGCCTTAGAATAACTGTTTGCTTTTTCACAATCACTGCACTAAAAAAATTACAAATTTCCTCACCTCTTTACACGTTTTAGTCTGAATAAGTTCTGACATAGAACAGTAGTTATTGGCAAATATTGTTCGGAGTACCCTGAATAATGATGCTTCTGATCCAGTCCAACCGTTCGGTAGAGGATGTTCTTTTCTTGAAGATGGTGATGCTGT